AAGGAAAAGCGGCGGGGGCGGGGCCGAAGGGCGCAACAATTCATGTAGAATATTGTTTATGAATTCAGCTCGCTATCGCAAATCTCTCACACACACACGCGCGCACGCACACACCAACACACACGCAAGTGCGCACAGGAGCGAGCAGGAATTTCGTAGCATACTTTCATGGGCAATTGATAAGCAGTCGTCGTCCTTTGCGGCAGGGAGTTTGTTATGGTTAAAGTTTCTGCGGCTCCTGCCACATATTTTATGGCTGTCCACTTTCGCATTTGGAGTGTGGGCAACTGGACCCTATGCACGTACATATCAAATATATGTTGTATATGTATATGTACGTATTTATGTATTTATGTACATAACATGACCTGGCCTGCGGCTCGAGTGGCGTGGCATTTCCTGGGCCAATCAAGGAAAGTGTTAAGGTTTTATGCTGAACGCACATGAAATCACTCTTGGCCAGGGCTACGATTATTCCAAAATTCCCGGCCAATTGAAACTTTTTGATGATGCGGGGCTGCGGCCATTTATGGCTAATGATTTAGTGGCTTCGATTGATTTATCGCCACCCGGCATCCACTCAACTCAATCAGCTGGGAATGACTGGGTTTCCTCAATGGAGAGTGTTAAGTACAGTCAAGCGTTCCTAAGTGACCAGTATTCAATCCATTTTAATATCGGAATATATGGGGGGTCAACCATTTGCAGTTAAATAATGAAATTCCTCTTAACTGACCAGTTTTTTTGTATATTTCATTTATTTCAATCTACTTAGGGCGTCTTTTTTATTAGTTACTTTTACAGAAGTTTTTCTGCGTACCTTTATTTCTGCCTTATCATCTCGTAAGCCCTTTTGTCTGCTGTTTTTTACACTAGGGCTAGCACTCAACCCATTTTCCCTTGTCACTTCATACAAAACTCAATTAATAAAAGTTGACGGCGCGCATTGAGCGTAAAACTGCGTTGATGAGGCATAAAAGTGTTTTTACCCTTCGCACACACACATACAGCTTAAGGTTCGAAGTTCGAACAAAAAAATAGGCATACCTATACAGTTGATAACATAGCCGCCATCGATGAAACCCTTCAGTGGGGACAACAGCCACTCGACACCCCTTGTGGCATAAAAAATTATGCAAATAAATGGGCTTCGCAGGATGGGGGAAGCCGCTAACGATGCTAACCATGGAAAAAAGTTGGAAAAAAAACAGGAAAACATGGGGAGCACAATGGAAATCCCCGAAACAATAACAATCCGCTGATGATAATCTCCAGGCAGGTAACGAGCGAGTCCTGGCTTCCGTCTGCCGTCACGCATTCCTGCTCGACACCCCCTCAATTTCCACCCACTCCAACCCCCCCCCAACTGTCCTGCCCCCAACTTGCTCCTCGTGTTTTATGTTAATGAATTTATTTATTATTACTTTATGTATTTTTTTTATTATTATTTTTTTGGGGGGCAGCTTTTTCCCCCGTTTTTATTTGGTGCTTAGGCCTCGATCCAGAGTTGCCGTAAATTAATTTGGCCACCGCAGGATGTGGTAAACAAGGACAGTCGTAAAGGGGCAACATTGCGTATACGCCATGTGGGCGGCTCTTATCGCTCCACGTGGACTGCTGTTAGGGTTGTCACCTCGTTGCAGCAGGATCCTTGGCGAAATAACTCTTTTGCTCGAAGCCAAGACAGATAGAACTCCAAACACCCCCCATCCACAGCTAATTACAAATGGAGTATTTTGGGCGGGGGTACGAGGAAGCTGGATGCCGCCACGGCATCAGCTAATTATTTAAAATGCTCGGCGACATTAAAAAGCACTTTCGCCTCGCAATGATAATCACAAAATGTTGCCGCGTGTATCCCGAGCAAAACCCTCAATGTTCTTGTATATTTTGTGCTGCTGCTTTTGTGGCTTTTTTGATAATGACGCTGATTAGTCAGCGCTTACGACAACTCGGCAATGTCTTCTTCTGCTGCTGCTCCACTGCTTTTTCTTCTCTTTTATATCGCCGCATCTTGGGGCATGAGGAAGAGGCAAGAGGCAAGAGGCAAGAGACAGGGAGGGGATGGTGAGCTGGAGGATTAGCAACATCTAGGAACTTTAAAATTAAGTTCCTCCGACTGGCTCTGACGCAATCGAGTCGACTGGAAAAACGGAAATGGAAATGGAAAACTGAGTTCAACAAAAAAACAAAAAACAAAAAACAAAAATACGAAAAAACGAAACAAAAATGAACTAAATTTGATTGATGGCAAAGAGTTTTGTTTGCCGCTTGTTTTCTTTCACTGCACTCAACTTGGACATATAAACTGAGCAGAAATATTCCCATTCCCATTCCCATTTCAATTTTCATTTCCACTTGGGCAGGAGGTGAATTGGGGTTCGGGGGATTGGGAAATTTCATAACAAACAAACAGAAGTAAAAACAAACATGGAAGCGTCTGACTCATAAAAGTTTAGCTCGTCTAATTGCAGCTGAAAATTATTTGGATTTGCTTCGGATTTTGATAAATTGCCCATTTCCATCTCAATGGATAAACACACACCACCACCACCACACAGCGATCCGAAGAGTCGTCTTCAATGAACTGGCCATGGCCCATGGATCGCCGAGAATCCGCAGATGTCTCGCTCCCGAAGTTAACACCTCGCGGTCCTCCAGAGGGCCGTAAAAACTGATGCGGCCATTGGCTGGGCAATTAACGGGCATGGCGTGGCAGCAACTGGAACAACCGCGCCGCCAATGGGAAGTGTGTAAGTACAGTGCGTTTCGCTGGTGTAGGGCATCGCGACAAAGTAACGGCCACGCTTGCCCGTCAGCCACTGCTATAAATCTTACATATAAGATGTTAGGATAAGCCTGGCCATAAATACTACTTTTTCCAGTATTTATAGTTTATTTAATTTATATTAAATGCGGAAATTTCAATATTACTTGCCTTACACTTCTGTACCGCACTGTGAGCACATAGAAAAATGTAAATTTTTAGCCAGCAACTCGCTCTTTTCGTACCGGCAATATGACCACCCACTGGCATGTGGTTTCACTGCCCCTCCCAGTCCGCCCACATTTTGGGGCGCCTTCAAACACCACCAGCACCACCACCCCCCCACCCACTACTTGTCTTTGTCTTGCTGTGTGTGTTTTCAGGGGGGGTTACGTCATTGAGGGACACGCAATGGCAAATGTTTGTATTTTTATTATTATCGTGTTATGCCATGTATTTGTTTGTTTGTTCGTTCGCTGGATTGCTGGATTGCCGGATTGTTACCCAGCCACGTCATAGCGTAGAGCTCCTAAGCAAAAAAGTTCAGTGCGGCAGGATGGGTGGGTGTGTTTTGGCTGGGGGAGAAGGACTCGTGCTGGAGGTGCGCCTGTCGCTCGTACGCACTTTCCCCCGGCTCTAGGATTTCGCGTATCTAGCGCTCTGGTGATAAAGTTTCTCCCCGTCAACTGCTGCTCGTACACCGAGCGAAAACGGCGGTTTTTTGTTAGGACTTTGAAAAAGAGTGCTCCAAAAATTATTAGCTCACTTTCTAAGTATTTTGCGCTGAAAATAGTATGTATAAATGCATATTGCCCAACACACAAAGCAAAGTAAGAGCCAACACAAATCGGTATGATTTAAAAAAGTCTAGCTCCTCTTAATTGCAAATGGGAAAAAATTGGGAATTGCCTTGGATAGTGATAAATCGGCCATTTTCATCTGAATGAATAAACACAGCATTTTTTAATGGTAAATGTGGGTCGTAAACTACAAAATACATTTCGTTTTATTAGCGTTCTCGAATTTATTAATCGACTTATTAGAATTTGCTTAAAACGTTTTGGTTTGGAATAAATATGTTTGAAGCTAACAATGGAAGCGAGCATTTTGTTCGATTTAGTTAATTTAATGTACAATATGAAGATGTTGTCTTTCGTTACTTTTTTGATTAAGAGCTAATATTAATAGGGAACTCAATGAAATATATTTTAGGTTCCAGGATCCTCTGCTCTTGTTTCTTTTAATTGTGGAGTTTTTAGAAAACTATTCTTACCCTTCTGTGACTTTCTATACAATACAAAATGTTTTGATATTTAAGAACTTTTGTGGCGGAAATAGCCCTTTTTATTGAAATGGAAAACTCAGAAAATATAAAACAGAATCACCCAGCGATGATGGAAAACTTCAATAAATAAAAGTTAAATAGCTGCAAAACAGTTCATTGGCATTACTTATCATGAATTTGTTTTAGAATCCGAGCGTTGACGTCATTAATTTTCAAACTATAGTTACCTAGGCTAAAAAATGTTTTCGATTCGCGGAAAACTGTCGGCTTCCATTGGGCCGCGCTGTTATTTTCGCTGTGTGCTAAAAAGTGGGGGGAAATTTATCGTTAACTGCTTGGCTGATTGTCCCAGTTCTTGTTCGACTTTTCCCAGCTCTTTGGCTATTTGGGCTCTTATCTAAGACCATTGCCAGCTTCTGGTAATTGTCGATGGCTCCCGCTGCAGAGCTGGTATCCACGGGCTTTCCGTTTTCATTTCCATGAAGGTTCAATATTTACCAGGGGTCCCTGTTTTTGGCCCATTTTTCCGCTGGCTTTTCGGTTTTTCTCCTCTTACACGTTTTTTTGGTCCTCCGCAGCTGCTAAACTCTTCGAGTTGTTTTGTTGTAAGTTCTTGCAGCTTTTAACACGCATACAGAGGCGCCTCAACACGCACACAACGAGCGGCAGGCGAAGAGAGCGGGAGAGCGAGCGTGTGTGTGTGCGTGGGTGAGTGTGGTGAAAAGCTTCGGTGCCTGCGCCTTCGTCATCGTTTCGGGTGGTGAGTTCGCTGGACTGCCTGCATCTGTGTGGGTTATATAAGTCGGTTATGAGTCGCGAGCCGCACCACCACTCCCCGCACTGTGCCAAGCGATGGGGAGAGGCGGGGAGGCGGGTTGGCGGGCTGGCGGGGTGGCGAACTCGAACTCACCACGACCCATTGAGAATGTTACCAAAAAAGTTCTCAGTTGTTGATAGCGCGCACACATATAGCCAGCCGTTTGGCCGTACTGGCGCACATTCCGCCGTATTCCATATTCCGTATTCCGTTCGCCGTGGAGCGTGCAGAGCGCTTTCAGTCGCTGATTTGACCGCCAAACAAACGCAACGCAGCTCGGCAGGTTTTAAGTTTACAATCAAATCGAAATCGCTGGTTCGCAACAACACAAACAAAAAAAAAAAAATAATAAAAAGGACAAAGCGCGCTCTCCGGTCCACGGAAGTCAACAACAACTACAGCAGCAGCAGCAGCAACAACATTAGCCGCCAGTGGCAGCAACAAACAACCAACAATAACAAATAAAAGCAATTACCTAAATAGTTGGTTTGTTTTCCCTCTTTTTTTCCAAGTTCCAATCCTGCAAAATAGTTGACATTTTTTTTTCGGTTAAATAATACGAAAGCAAGAAAACAAAGCAAATAATAATAAATTATACAAAAACGAATACCGCAAACAAAAAAGTAAGCAAATGTGCGAAAATTAAATGAAAACATTAGTTGTGCCGCAGAGGAAAAAAGAAATAATCAACAAAGGGATCAAGTGTTTATTTATATTTGTGTAGCATACTTTTGTGCGGCAGTCAAAGATTAATTTACACAAAAGGGATCCGCGCACACACACACACACACACACACCCACGCACACACACCCGCAGGCAGACAGGGACAGAGATAGCAAGAGAGGCGCCAGAAAGAGAGGGCAAGACGAAGGTTACTTTCGCATTTATGCATATGGGATGCCTTCGGTTTCGTTGGGGTTTTTAGTTTTGGTTTTGGTTTTGGCTCTGGCATTCGTTATGCTTACAAAACTTGACCCAAATTTACGTTTTGCGGTCCAGCAGCTGCCGCTTAATAAAATACAAAACATAGGCGCCCGCGGGAGGGGGAGGGGGGCGGGCGAAGTGAGCGGAGAAAAGGGGAAAGGGGAAAGGCAGCGAGACAACGTGGAAGGATTATGTAAACAAAAATAGGTTTCCCTGCCCAGCGAACTTGTGTCGCGACGCTTAGACTTAACCTCCAAGGACTCAGTTTTCTCATTTTTCACTTGCGGGGGTGGCACTGCCCCCTCCAAATCCGTAGCTCCTCAGCCGTTTCCATTCCCCTGTAGCCTCCATCAATGGCCGCAATCATCCGCACACAATCCGTCCGTAATCACAAATGCAGCAACACTCACCTTGCGTGTCATTTGCTCGTTTTTCCCCCCTAGTCTAGTCCTTTTCATTCCTTTTCCTTTTCCCTTTGCGAGTGACAAAATAAATGGGGGAGAACAAATCGAAACACGGGACTACAAAATGCATTTTAATTTGCCTCAATTATTTGATAATTGGCCATGGCCAAAATCCCGGAATCGACACGAAAAAAATGCTCCAATAGCCGGATGCAAATAGATCTTATCCGTCCGCCTCCCTCATTTGCAATCAAATTGGCCAATCTGTCGGGGCTTAATAGAAGCAAACTGCCGCCATTTGACGATCTGCTAACTGGGATATTTGATTCCCAAAGAGTTTACCACTAAGTGCCCAGTTATCCGCGAAAACGTTGATGGTACATCATTTTAAATTGATATTGTGTTTAGATATTAATTTCAAGTAGATTGCTAGGATTTAAAGCTGTTGACTGATTTTATCATGTTTGCATATTTGTGTTTTATAGTTCCTTGTGGGATTTAAAATTCATTTATTTAACGTACATAGTTCAAAATAAATCTTTAGGTAGTTAACAGTTAGAACATTTTAGTTCTAATTGGCTTGCTTATTTTCTAAAACGAACTTTGCCAATGACTGAAGTACAACTCCTTATTTAAACTCTCGATATTTCAGCAATTAAACGCAGTTTACTTGGAATTCAATCGCTTTAGTGAATCGATTGGTATTTGAATGATTTCCAAGTATTAAGCTCATAGCTCAAAGTCGAACAAGTTGAGCCAATTTAAAATTTCCAGCTTGCTTGGCTGCCATATTCCTAGTATATTGCCTTTATAATTTCTAAATTAATGTTAAACTTATGGCGATAATCCACAAATTAAACCAATTAAACCATTAAACCAAGTATAAATTTTCACATTAGTTGAGCACTTTATTCCCAGTAAATTTATTTCAATCACTTGTCAGTTAGCCGCCTCGAAGATACTTTTGGCATCTGTCTGATTTAGTAATTTCGAAATTCATATTAAGTTGCACCTAGCCCGGCCCGTTGCGATGAATATTTCAATTTTGATAGCAGCATTTATATGCTAAGCCCCCCAGGAATTCCGCATTAAATGCGGGATTCCCATTGCCCAGATGAGTTGGCCCCCGCCGATCGCCGTCCTCTTGGCCCGGCCTAATCCCATCGCCTTGAGGTAGTCACTGACATTTAGGCAATCGCTCGGCACTCGGGCTGCAGTCCGCTCTGCCATCTATCTGGCCGTCTAACTGTCCGCCATTTCAGGACCTTCGGGTTCCTTTGCCGGTCCTCGAAATCCTCGAGGTCCTCGAGTTTTGCATTGTTTGCATCGAGACATTCGCCCCATATTCGAAGTGGGGGGCGTTTTTGACATCCATCCCGGACTGCGGCTGACTGTGGGTGTAAAAATTAATTTACCACCTCCGCTGATGATGGTTCCGCGTCTTGGGTTCCTTCCCTCAATCTTCATTTGCATTTTTACACAGCCCGAAATCGGTAATCCTGCAGATGGCCGATAACTCTGCTAGTCGCAAAACAAAGCCAAGCGGTAATAATCAAGCGAGCACCAATAAACTGCAGCTCGGATTTTAGAGAAGCATAAAAGCTACAAAATCCTAGTAATCCACCAACTTTGCTTGCAATACAAAAACTGTGCGTAGAACTAGGTTGTTTGGATTAACAGCTTAGGATTTTTCGAACTTAACACAAATTGAAAATGCTAGAAAACCTAATTTCCACCAAAACTGATCGCTAACAAATAATGTTTGTATGCTCACTTGATAAACAATTTGCCTCAAGATAGTTCACTCTATGTAAGAGTTTATAGTGTTGGGTAGTATTTTAAAATCACTCAAACAGTGTGAAGCAGGAATTGGCTTTTTATTGCGTACTTTTAGACATTGCTTTAAATGATTAGAAACCTGAGTGATTAGAATATTGCTTTTTTTCAGTGTTGCCCAGCTTTCGGGTATCGTTTACAATCCATTTCATTCGAATAAGTTTGCGCGTAGCTCCGTTCCATTCACTGCGTTCCGATCCCCCTGGCCATGCCCACATCCATTTCCATTCCAATTCCCCCAACCCCAACGCCCACTTCTCCGCCCCTTTCCCCATTTTCGGTCCCACTTTTGTTGGCAAGTGTAGATGAGTGCGAGAAAAGTGTTGCATGCTCGCGGGCTAAACGCGAGATGAACACGCAGCTGAAGGATAAAAAGGAGGCGGTTGGCTCAAGAGGGGGTGTGGCCGAGGGAGGAGAGTGCGGGGAAGACAGCAACAACAACTGCAGGCAGTATGAAAAATAAGCACACACACACTCGCACACACACACACATACAGACAGAGCGAAGCAGCGAAGAAAGACACATTCAGACAGATAAACGAGTCGAGTTACAAGCCAGGAGTGTTTTTTTGGGCCAGCAGGAGAAGGGGAGAGTGGGGGAGGGGTAAGTCACCGAGGACCTGCTGCTATCTGCATCCCTGTCTAAATAGTGCCATCCCGCTCGTTGGCACTGCATTAGCAGCCAGCTGTGAACGAAATAAACGTAAAAATATTTTTAGTGTGAACAAATTTCAGCTCGTTGTAAAAGGCAACACAGAATGAAACTGAAACACTGCGACAAACGCACACAGACACACACGCACACCCACACACACACGCACGCGGAGCACACCTGACATGATAACACACACACGGACGCACACACACAGAGGAACAAACTGTGTTTAGTTAGCAAATGCCAATGGCTCATGTTCGCAGGGCAGAGAGAGAGAGAGAGAGAGAGGGAGAGAGATTGAGAGAGAGAGGGTGAGAGTGGGAAATAACTTGTGTGTCTGTGTGCGTGGGTGTATCACTTTGCATGCCTGGGTGTGCGTGTGTGTGTGCGACAGTTTTGTAAACAAACAAAGTCAAAAGCAACAAGAATTTGACACGACTTGAACGAAGATATTGGAGGGCTCTCTGCTGCGAGGCAGTCTTTACATAATTGTGCCCAGGCTTACAATAAAAGAGTTCATTAAAAGCGAAAGCAGGTGACCCCATTACCTCAAGTAATTCTCCATATTTGTTATCCTGCGAAAGGGATTTGGGGTCCTTTGGGGCTCTTAATGCCAAGGCTCCTGGTAATGGCGGAGCTTTTCTTATAGTTAATGGGTAAATAAGACGAAAAAACAGTCATCCGTTCTACCTGCAGATATTTTATTATACAGATACTAATTTGAAATAATACGTTCACAATATTATTATAAATTATGGCTGGTTGGCAATTTCCTGTACAGTACAGTACAGTACAGCATTACAGTTTCTGAGAGATGGAAATAGTTGATAATATTTGCTGTATAATAGAATACCAGCTGAGCTGAGAAGGTGCAAGATTTACCGATGAATTGGCTTGATTTGGTACAATTCCGCACCAGAAATTAAGTTTCGTTTCCTCGGTAGGGGATCATCTCGGATTTCTGGCGATGAACAGCAGTTCCGTCACGTTTTCCACCAGCTCCTGACTTTTCCCCGGGGATTGAGTGCTTTTGATTTCGTTTCTGCACTTGATACGACCGTTTTGCATGCGACATCTCGGCGGGACTGCATCTGGAATTAACAGAATTTATTTCATTGCATAGCAACCCCTTCCCGCCTCCTTTTCTCTGGCGGAAGAGAGGAGGTAAAATACAAAGGCAACTTATTTTTATGCCATTCGCGTCAACCGCAGAAGGCAACACAGGGAAACGCCCCCACAGCCCCCAGTATCCAGTATCCAACCCCCTTGGCACACACAGGGTTAAGTTTTTTATGCGCTTTTGTTTGCATCCTCTGCAGCGGGCCACGCCCACCGCCCTCCGCCCACCATCTACACGATTTTTTTGTTGCCAACTGTCATGAAAAGTTCGAGTCGAGAGTTGACCTGAAAAGTGTCGCTCTGTGTATTTTTATGCCTTTCAATCCGCCCATACTGGAAAAGTCCCCTTTTTCGGCACGCCTCTGGCCTCGTTATAATCATAGTGCGCCGTTGTTGTCTGGAAAATCACTAATTGAACAGTGCCAAAAAAAAACTAGAAATAGTTGTTAATCAAGGGACACAGGACATGGGGGATTATAGATGGGTTTTTGATGGATGAGCCTCCTGTGCGGGGGAGGAAGAGGGTATCCAACTGGACTTGAAGCATCCTTCGTATAAGATCTATTCACACTCCCTTTAAGCGCTGCTCGAAAAGTTTTTGAGCCGAGAAAAGTGCGGCAAACTTTTCATAAACTATCTTGGCCAGTTATTGAGGTGGAACGAAAATCGAAGCCATGTATATATAAATATGGTTATATATAGATTTAATATCGGCAAATATGCCGTGAACTATGCTCCATACTTTCTACTTTCCCCGCCTTTCACTTGTTTTTTTTATTGCAAAATTATAAAGCATATTAAAATACTTATGGCAAACTTTTGAATAACCGAAACAAAAGCAACTACAAAAATTGCAAAGTAAAACGAACTTGCGCAGCAAAAAAGTTTGCCACTAAAAGGCAATAGCAGTCAAGTGCAACAGCAACAACAGCAACAACACACAAATAACAAAAACAACAAGAACCACAGGAAAAGGTAGTAGAACAACAACAGCAACTAGGGAGCCGCAACAAGAACAACATGGGAAAAAAGAGCTCCAAGTTGAAACAGGATACCATTGATCGCTTAACAACGGACACATACTGTAAGTAAATCGCCGCTTCCACAAAATGCGGCACTTAACTTTAAAAACATATTCATATCTGGTGGTACAGTGCGTTTCAGCAGCATCATGTTCTATTTGAAATGGGCACAGATTGAGAATAATAATAATAATAATAATAATAGGATAGAGGGACATGAAGTACACGAGTTCCCTTCAATTGCAATGCAATCATATTAAAAACATTTAGATACATTTTATTTAAAGATCGAATGCATATATAAATCTATAATATATATTACTGTAGCTGTGATTAAACAAAGCTTATTTTGAACTTGATTATTGATATATTTTTTTATTTTCGATCCAGTACCTAAAATATAATATTTAATGCACTTAAATGAAACGCTAAAGATAAATTTTCTTATACCTCATCTGCTTAAATCAAGAATTAATCGACAAAATATTCGCATCTGCCATTGGGAAGTGAGCTCGCTTAATAAACACTATATCAACTCCACATAAAGCTCATTTTATTATTTTTCCATCCACGATGTCTGCAGCGTGTTTTTCCGCCCGCCCTTTGATTTACCTTGTAATGCCGTCTCCTTATTTATTTATTTGTTTGTTTGTTTTTGCCCAGCCATTTGTGCCTTCTCCTCTCCTTTTCCCCCTTGCTGCCCCCAACTCATTTGGCATTTTCCTCCGATTGACATTTTCCCATTTTGATTTGTTCTTTTGCTTTTGTTTTCGCTCGGCGGGCATCAATCAAAATACGCGAAGGTGCAGACATTTTCCCGCTTACCACACACACACTCACACACGTATGCTTTGTGTGTTACATACGCGTAGATACTCAGATATCTGGTGGCCTGATAAATGCATAATTCAAAAGTGTTTTCCCGCCCAACTGATTCATCAGCGGGGCGACGGACGGACTAACTGACTCATCAGTCATGGCCTGGTTGGCAATAAAGTCGCCCCAACTGACGGCGAGCATCTGAGTCCGATTCGATTCGATTTAATTCGATTCGATTCGATTGAGAAACTTGGAATTAGCCAGCTCAAGTTCGGTGTATAAATGGAGTGCGAAGGATCCTTCATCCTGCAGCTATTGAGTTACCCTGTGCTGCAAAAAAAGACCGCGTGGGGCGGGAAAATCGGGGAGCACTTGACATTTATGGTTTAATTTTATCGCTTTTTCCTGTAGCCACTTTTGCTGCTACTTTGTTATAAATTGACATGTTATTGTTGCTGAAACTGACAGCTGCAGTTATTGCCCCTTTCGAGTTTAGCTTGGCTAAAAAACGTTGGCTTTTCAGTGGCATAGTTATAGCTCGAGCACTAAACTGATTGGCTATAAATAAGATCGCTAAAATGCCAGAAATCAAAGTTTATAGCTCAATCAAGGTTCCCACAAGCATGATTAATTAATAGAGTCAATTCCAAAGGGTCATATCTAGCTATCCCCACTGCAAAACTCATTTCCAATAGCCTTTTGAAAGCTGCAACACTTTCGTTTATGGTAATGCAGCTACTTTGAGCTCATCTTTTACGACTCACCTTTGCAACCGACAAAGTTGAATTAATGCTATGCTTTTGTTGCACCGTTTCACCTGTTGTGGCTAGCTATTGTGGCCCATACAATGTGTTAGCTGCTACTATTCGTTACAACCTTTACTTTACGTGACCCGCCACCGATTGCCTGTATCTTTTGTATCTCGATTTGTAGCTCCTGCTGGAGATTCCATCATTTCATTTCAACTGCTACTTTTACTGCTAAGCAGGACATTACATTTACTTAGCTGGCTCTGCGCTTTTGGTCCTTTTTGTGCTTCGGCCATTTGGGCTTCTTAAAAATGCAAGTCAGAAACTTTTCGAGCCGAAAACTTTTGTGACTAATTGCTTTCGTTTGCCTCGTCCCCGTGTTTTCCTATTCTGTGGTCCCCAGCTCCCGAGGTCAAGGGGGTAAAGCCGGAGGGGTTGGCGGCTCGTAGTGGTCGCCTGGCGTATAAATAATTACCGCTGGGCGTTCGGGGGCACCTGGTTGAACAAAAAAAAAAAAAAATAAAATAAATAGCAGCTGGAAAATAGGGGAGGGACCAGGGGAAAAGTGTTGACAGATTGCTGCCAAAGTTTTCACCGTTTTTTAATGGCTTTTCCTTAAAGTTGTTTGTCTTGGCTGGCTGGCTGGCTTAGCTCCGCTGAAATGGAATTCATGGGGCGCCGCTTAAATATGCAACTCAATAATTGTAATCCTCTTGGCTGGAACGCTCCACCGCCCCCATTTTGCGACCCGCAAGCCGAAAAGCCCATTGTGTGTGCAACAGCTGCTGTTTGGCAGAGATTTGCTTGTCCAAGCAAAGCAAATGAATCAACTAAGGACTCAATTTATTGCCAACGGGTCGTATGAACAATTTCTGCCGGCCTGCGTCAATATTTGCCCTGTCCATTGACATGCCAATCAATTGGACATTAAACTAACCCCCAGCGCCCATCGTCTTAGCCCTTTGCAGCTTGCTAGTTTACTAGCCACCATCCACCTTTCCCCCAGTACTGAATAAATAAATAAACGGACAGAAATTTGATTAGTTCAGGCGAGAGGGGTCGAAAATGCAAAGTGCCCAGTGCGTTTAGGCCACATATTCGTGCATGGCGGCTCGAATTAGGGTCTAAGCCAGCAGTGCCCGTGGCTAACTGAAAATCAAGCAGTTCGAAGTGTAAAGAGTTTTCCTGTTGCTTGCTTGTCAACGCCAAATATAGTTTGTACAAAATGTGACTTAAGGATTGCTTGATATTGTGTATATCTCGAAAAAAGTAACATGATGTTTATTATCTACTTATTGGCGAGTAGTACAAATTTGTCGGTTTCACATTTGTCTGTTCATAATTGGATTACAAGCCCAACCAGGTGTGCCATTCTATTGTTGGCCAGTTCACTGCATTGTTCTGAAAATCAATTAGTTTCATGTTCGGAATTTTGGGGAATAAAGCCAAATGTTCTGGTCATCTTGTCGTGATATGGCCCTAATCAATTTTTGAAGTCAAGTGAAATAAGATGTAAACTGCCATCGATTGCCAATTTGGTAGCAAATTCATAGAGCTATTTCATTCAACATTATTGTTCAAATATTATTAAATAATAAATTTTTGATCGCCCAACTATGGTGTTTAGGCATAAGTTTATTACTTATTTAAATTGAATTTAATTACAAAACAATAGAATAAGCCATGCAAAGTCAAAAATATGAACAAACGATTTGAAAATGACAACAATTCCGACAGCAGTAAATTGTTTTCACGTTTTCTTTGCCTGTGCATATAGAATTTGTTAGCCATTAAATGCATATGTTATTTTAGCCCTACGATGGGAAAAACGGGCAATTAAACGATGAAATGCTGTCGACCAATGCAAAAATGGTTATATTAACTGCTTTTATACCTCGCCGTGATTGTGGAAAAGCTGCACTGGTTAAAATCCAAATGGCAGCGTCAATTGCGCCCTGCGGTATGAATTTGATATGCATGGTCATCAATCGATTGGCATGGGCATGGGCATGGCAAAGGGGGCTACTATACCCCACATACCCCCCGAAAGGTGTGCACCTGCCCATATCCTCCTTGCTGATCCGCAATCTTTTTCAAGCCAACTTGAGCTGACAGAATGACTCGTGCTATATGCGAATGACAATGCATTTCGGTGGGGGGCGGTGGTGGGTTAAACTGGCACCGATGGCAACAAGTCGTATGAGCAATATGCTCTTTATTTACAATCAATACAGGCGAACAAGTGACGCCGCAGAGGCGTACAAGTGAGGGGGCGGCGAATGAAAGGCGCACACAATGCTGCCCCGTAAGTGCCGTTATATTTCTACATGCCACACGTCAGTAATACAAAAAGGAAGGGGCTCCTGTCCCTCTCTCTGTCGCTCTGTCTCTCTGTCTCTCTGTCTGTCTGCCTGTCTGTCTGTGTGTGTGTGCTTGTGTGTCTGTGTGTGTTGGTCCTTTAGCCGGGCTATCGATTACCAATCAATTCTGCTCCTGCCGCTGGCTGTGCCGATTGTTGACTCCGCTGGATTGACATTCTCTGCGGGATAAGGACAACACATAATGGATAATGGATCAGGGATAAAACCCACGAAGCGCTCTTTTTTCTGCGGCTAATTAAAATGCAAATGCTGCAGCGATTCCTTTGGCAGGCAGCTAATCAAAACGAAAAATGATAACCAAGCTGCGGGAAACAGGGTGAAACTGAATGCAATGCCATTGGGAATAGCACTTCAATCTACCGATTTACTCAATCTGCATTTGAATAAATTACTGTAGACATTGTCATTATTTTCTAGATTAAATTATATGTCATTTGTTCAGCTTTAATCAAATCAAATTATGTTATCAATTATTTTTGGGCACTTGGCGTAGGCTATAAAATATTCAACTCCTCTCAATTTCAATTGTTAAACTGGTCTCCCGTTTAAGGTGTCCTCTCAAGACCTTCACACAGGTGTGCCACATTTTTTTCAGTGCATCTTCTTCGGTGCAGATGATATATAATAGCCGCACCATGAATAATGCGAGTGGCCGCTGCAGATAACTGGCAGCCATCGAGTCAATAGCCGCAGCTATAGCTCCGTTTCCGATTCTTCAGCTCCCTGGGGACGTGGCTCCGCCCACTACCCCCCCGCCCTTCACGCCACCCAAATTGCTGGCCAGTGACCACGCAGCACCACCCACCTCTTCAGAAGCAATTCGAATGTGTGTAATTTTGCGTGAATTTATGTTTTCATTTTTGTTTTTTCCCTTCCCTTTCTTGTTTTCTGTTATTTTCTGTTATTTTCTGTTTTCCAATTGCCTGCTCCTGCTGGTCAGGGAACATGTGCGCCATTCACACGCCCAGGAGTCAGTCGGAGGACCTGGGATCAGGATATGGCCCTGGCCAGGTTCGGCGCCATCAGAATGCGGAGCAGGGTGCGTGGTCCTCCCAAAGGGGAGGGAGCAGCGTTTAAACGTTTGGTAAACGGCCATTAGGCCAACGGCGATGGCGATGGCCAAGCAAAATGGGGGAAAAAAAGCAAACAGAGAACATTTTATGCCAGCAAAACAAAGAACATTTTTATATGCATGAATGGTGGGCAAAGAGGCGGTGGAAATCAGGGAAAATCCAGGAGCGGGAGGAGCAGTGGGAGCAGGAGGAGCAGTGGGAGCAGGAGGCGCAGGTCCAGGGCGTGGTCGAAAGACAATGAAAGATAATTCAGAACTCGAGCCGAATGAGTTCAACATTTGCATATGCGAGGAGTGTGGAGGGGGCACATAGAAATGGATAATGAAGAGGTCATTCCCGGAATTCTCCTACCCCTCCCCCTACTCAGCTCCCCCCCTTTCCCCTACGCAGCCCACGCCTATCGAACGCCAATCAATAATGAGTGAATAATTTAGCAACGATAATTTCATTAGTTTTGCGGCAGAGAGCAATTGATTTATAAGTCCCAGCGATATGGAATATATTATAGCTTCAAGCAACCATTATGTTTAATTGTGAATGCAATATTCTTTAATAACCTTTGTCTGCCACTTTTTTAAAAGCTACTATTAAGTTACCACGCACTAACTGAAATCAATAAAACTTAATTTATTTTTAAAAAGCACTGCAGCACTTTTAGCTTATGCTACTTAAATATATTAAATATAAATACACTGCCAAGTGAAATAGTTATTTCAAAAATATAGTGCATACCTGCTGGCCAAATGCATCAAAATTCCAAGCCAGCTGGTACAATTTTTCCAATTTCCAATTGCTGACCGAAAGTTGGAATTTAAACCGATGCTATTCGCAATTCCCCACCTCTCATCAGCAAACCATCTGCAGCTTTGTGGATTTGGTGACGGCTCGTGTGTAAATAAACAATGGGGGGAATAAAGCCAATGTTATTGTCAGCTGGCATGGCAGGTATGAAACGCACTGTACCATTTGAATAACAACACACGACCCACACGAATTTGTGTGCTCAATTGAACGGTTTAGCATATTCGCCCCGAAACAAACTCAAAATAATCCACTCGCACCTTGTAAATATTTCAAATACCGCATAAAATTTTAATCCACTTCGATTTTCTGTTTGTTTTCATTTGCAGTCACAGAGAAAGAAATACGTCAATGGTGAGTTGGCTGGCAAAAATGCCAGCGGGCGGCATATCTGCCAGAAATACGAGTGTATCTGCAAATTAACTGTATACAAATCAAACATTTTCGCCCGCCAGGCACAAAGGATTCCTGAAAGACTGTCCCAATGGCCTGCTCACGGAGCAAGTGAGTATATCGGATATATGTCCTTAAGCTACAACTTTCGGGCCCAAGTCGCAGTCGAGTGTGCGTGTGTGTGTGTGTGTAAATTGGCCACCTGAGCGTGGCCAATTCATTTAAGTCAAACGGTTAATTAAGTTAATTTTCCGCCTTGCACCCGAACTCCCCCACTCGATTTATGTTTGCTAATTCCACGACAGCAGCCATATCAGACATGAGAAGTCCTTCGGCAGGATAACACAAATACCAGCAATGGTGTTGGTGCTGGGGGTCTGATGGTCTGATGGTCTGGCGTCTGGGGGTTAGGGGTTAGGGGTTGGCCAAATGTGTTGACGACCCCCGGCTGCTAATGACATTGCCTTTGTGGATGTAGAAGTTGTTGTTGATGTGGCTGCTGTCGTCGTCGGCTGTTTGTTGATAATGAAGTTTATTAATGCGCGCATTATTCAAACACGAACGCATACACATATGTGGCACGCCTCTAATTGATTCATCTACATTTGTCTTTCGCCCCCGTTTCCATTTCTCCATTTCTCCGTCTATCCGTTTCTCAATTTCATTAGGGCTTCATCAAAATCTACAAACAATTCTTTCCACAAGGCGATCCCAGTAAATTCGCATCGCTCGTCTTTCGTGTCTTCGATGAGAACAATGTGAGTATGCCATCTATGCAATATCCTATCTGCCATGTAAGTAGGGGGGCTGGCCACGCCCAGAAACTATAAAGTTTCCAATCCATTTGCGTTTAAAAGTTTTCCATAATTCTGTGTATATGTAGTTCAGGGCCACGTCTTTTGTAAACTAAGCATGTTTTGCAAAAAGCAAATATTTGTAAAGCAGAAAACTGTTAAACATTGAATCATTTGTATTTATAAGATACAAATTCTTATTGCTCAGTATTAAAAAAAAAGCAAACATTCAGCCCTAAAATATTTACAAAAGGCATTTGTTTGCATTAAAAGGGAATTTTGTTGGCATAAACATACGTACGTAAAAGGATTTTCAGCAAAATAAATATTTAACTGATGTTTTTATCTCGTTTTCATTGAATGATTTGCATTTATGGAATAAAAGTTTGCTGTTTTTTTGCGAGGTAAATATTCAATTGAAGCATATTGGCGAGATGGTCAGAATATTTACAAATACACAAATGCTTTGTTCAAGCTTGTCTGTTTTCTTCCCTTTATCCAACAAAGGGTTGGGTTAGTTTTTCTCTGAGTGTGCTGACGTGGGCTAAAAATGTGAGACAGCCACAAAATAAACTGATTTTAGCTGGTTAATGCCCTTTACTCTCACCACTGTTGGCTTGTTTAAGGCGTGGGTGATCATAAATTTCGGCTGCTTTTGTTGTTTCTCGCTTTTATTATTTATGGACCATGGGCGTGGCCCGCCCTTTCAAGCCCCTCCCCCCTTCGAACAACCACAGAATGTCAACTGTCTGATGTCTGCACTGATTTGCTTTCTTTGTCTCTCTGCGTGTGTGTGTGTGTCTTTCTGTGTCCTTACCGCCGTGTGCGTGTGTGTGTGCCTGCTTTCTTCTCTCTTTTTTTCCTGGCCTTCCCTTTCCGCTTTTATGGGTCTTCAGGATGGCTCCATTGAGTTTGAGGAGTTCATACGCGCCTTATCCGTCACATCGAAGGGCAACCTGGACGAAAAACTGCAGTGTAAGTGGTGCCATGTTTTCCCAAAAAAAAAAAAGTTCACTACAAAAACCCTGCAATCGATAAATATTTTTATTATGATTTTGTTGCCATTATTTATGGGTAAACCACAGGGGCCTTCCGTCTCTACGACGTGGACAACGATGGTTACATAACGCGGGAGGAGATGTACAACATAGTGGATGCGATCTACCAGATGGTGGTAAGTAACACAGTAGACTAACATCATAGGTTTTAAGAACCTTTGTGCCAACTCAAGGCTAAGTTTCAACTTGTATGCTTAAGTTTATCAGGCTTAAGTTTGAGTTGCACATAAAACTAAGTACAAGTATATTACTAATATTTAAAATAACATTCATTACTTGAAAACAGGGACAGCAACCGCAATCGGAGGACGAGAACACGCCGCAGAAACGAGTGGACAAGATCTTCGATCAGATGGACAAAAATCACGATGGCAAATTAACATTAGAAGAATTTCGTGAGGGTAGTAAAGCTGATCCACGTATAGTTCAGGCGTTAAGTTTAGGTGGTGGTTAAATCGATTAACAATGGCCGATTACCGATAGCCGACCCAATTCCAATTCCACAAAAACCAAGCGCGCAATAAACTGAAATAAAAAGAAATTGATACTGCAAGTTGATCGTAACCCGCTAAAAAAAAAAACAAAAATTTATGGAAGTTTGTGGGTGGGGGCGGGTTGGTACGGTGCCACGCCCCCTTCCGCTTCGTTTGCATTCGCTTCTCCACTCTTCACTTTCTCTTCTCTCCACGCTTTTCTCAATTCCCGATTCTCGATTTTTGATTCTCAATTCTCGATTCTCCGCGCGTCGCTTGCGACACTGAAGATGATAATAATTTTTTGATTGATATATGGATAAAGAATAACTAACGAGATGGAAATCCAAACAAACCGAAAACCGAAAAGAAAAAACGAATAACGAAAAAATCGAAATGAAATTAATTTTTAAATATACACCAGAATATAAATATATAGGAAATCATGGCGTAGTCACAGCGCAGTTCATAGCAATAATGGAAAAATAAAACGATGAGAAAAGAAAAAATGTCGAAATATAAATAAACTAATACTAATTTTAAATTAAATCGAATGGCGCGGAGGCGCAAATCAATTTTTGAAACATACACCAATTACGAGTAAACTAATTAAACCTACGATTAAATCAGCATAACTAACATATACTAAACAATTAAACGATACAATTAGAGCCGAACTAAGCCTACGCATCAATTGTGCAGCCTACGAAGCAAAGCGAGTTATATGAACTCGATCAGAGTCAGCTAATTCCACTCACGACAGCCAACAGCTGCCACTATATCCACACTTAATATATACATATATACATATAGATACAGTATCGATCCGATAAGTGGCCGCAGGCAGGATAGACAGAGTTCAGAGTTCACAGTTTAGAGGGCGTCGAACAGCAGAGCGGAGCTAGCTTAAAAAGGTCATAAAAAAACTTTAACGATTACGAGAGATACTTACACATATTACCCATTTCCAAGTGCATTCACTTTAGCTGTTTGGCAATATTTGAATATTGAAGATGAGGAAAAACTACTGATTTTCCATCAATACCTACACGCCTATAACTTAGTGCCCGTATCGACTTTATCACTTCATTTCGGCAACACTTAAATTTTTGCAAGTGTAACAATAATGCTAAGCTAGAAGGTTTCCCCATCCATTGCTTAAGATTCTTAGCAAATTACCTTTTATTCAAACTATATATTTCGGTACCTAAACATCCGATACTCATTTGCTTTTATTAACCAGGGATTGTTTGAGAAATGCAGGATGATTTATGGGCAAGGAAATGTGTTTATTTTCAGGCTCAAGTGCAAGGCGACCCATGTACTTTCAAGCCAGCTGCCTTACAGTCATGAAACGCACCTTGATCAGCTGCCATTCAGCTCCCCTGCGAAAAGAGATTGAATCTGCAGATGAGTGTCGCCAGCATGCAAAGAGTGTTGCATACCCAACAGGCGCAGAAAAGTGTTTGCTTTCGTTTGCTCGCTCTCTCACTCTTTCTACCTCTATCTCTATTTCTTTCCCTCTCTCTCTATATATCTCTCTCTCTCTATCTGTATATTCTGCTTTGCATTGTTTTCCGTTAAGCGTTATACGTTCCCAACAACAATAACCAAACCAAACCAAACCAAACTAAACCAAACCATATTTACAATAACAACACGAACATATTGACAATAGGCGGAGCAGGATGAGCAGAGAAAAGGATATCCAAAGGTCTTGAGAACACTGAAATCCCAGAAATCCATGAACCACAGCTCCAGCAGTCCAGAAATAGCTACGAAACGAAGCCATTAATAAATGATAAACTAATGAAAGAACGCACAGCTACAACCAGAGCCACATCAACAGCCAGAACATGAACATATATATATACACAATGTATATCCAATATCCTCGAGACGCAGCAGAAAAGATGCAAGCAAGTTGGAGCAGTTAGGAGATATATATATATATATATACGAGTATAACAATGAAACAAATCCATCATACGATTTAATTTCTATTCTATATGCGGTTCAGCTTTATTATTGCATTGATTTTTCAATAAACCAGTCAACCGTTTTACTATTCCGATGACTATCTATAAATACTGAATTCCCGCTTTCTCACGCCCCACCCACCCCCCTTCCACCCAGAAAAAAGAAAGTAAAACCCCTTCAATTGCCTTTGTGTTATCTAGATCTAGGGAGATTTCGGACTCCCTGAAAGAACACAAGCACTAACACTCACCCAAACACACACACCTACACCCACACCCAAACACAAGCTCTCACACATACTGTATATCTATATAGTGCCTATGTATGTAGTAGTGTTTCTTATGATTTCGCCTGCTTTGCCTTATTTGAGAACGAACATTTCCAATTGACCGATTAACGTTTATCTTTTCCTATGCTTTCCACGTATTTAAGCACCGATCTAAAAGAATAAACACGATACAAATTCAAGAGTAAAATGCCGTGCAACCCAAACACTTTCCCCAAACACCGACACACCCACACACATAGCCATATGTATGTGTGTATATATATACATAAATAACTTATATATACTCTATATAGTAAGCACAGCAATCGAAAGCAAGTTAAGGAACTATAACAAAACCAAAAATCGAATACAAAAACGCTTCTATAAACCTCACTGAAATTCTTCAAAGAAAAAACTGAAAGATACAAGATATATTACACACACATACGCAAACTGATACACACCCACACACACACACACACACACACACACTTGTACGAGTATATTAACAATAAACGTAATGCGAAAACTTAATCAATAATTAAATAATTCGAAAGTGATATAGCTGACAAAACAAATGTGTCTGTAGTAGTCTAGTAGTTAAAAGAAATTGAAACGAAACGAAACAAAGAAATTTATAAATAATATTAACTAAACTATTATATGTGACAGATTAAATTGGAGGCAACGGGGAAAACGCAACGCAATTTTCACGTTGACCCCCATTTTTTTTTTGTAAGCAGGCGGCTGAGGCGGAAATAAGCAAATCAAACTGTAAATAACACTAAGAGAATCACGCACACCACAACACAAGACACACCCTCACACACACGCGCATACCCACTCGCACACTGACAGAAACGAGGAGTACCGAATAAGTTTGTTAACACCAAAATATGACGGGTCTTAAGTAACGAAAAATACTTATAATAATAATGCAAAAAAAGCAAAAAAAAGCAAAAATGCAGCAGAGAAGAAAAAATCATAAAAACAGTAAGTTAGAGCAAGGAATTTTTTTTGTGGATTGAATTGGATGGGTTTGCAATGAATCAAGTCAATTGTAATAGCCGACAAAACGAATACGAGAATTATGAAATATTTATATTAATTTACAATGGGCCGGCGAGTGAAGCTTTTCCCGGAAAATGCAGTGAAAAGCAGTAGCAGATGTCGAAGATGAGTTTCTTTCCACCGCCGTTGACAAACCACACGAATGTCAAGTTAAACGTTTCACAAGCAATATTTTACATACTTATACATGCATTATATACACATATATACATATATATATATATATATGTGTAAATATATATAAATAAATATACGATAATAAATATATACATAACATATATACACACTCCGCAATAACGAGTCGACCGGCTAAATAGACATAATAATTATAATATTATATAATATAATATAATATAATATTGCATGGCAGATACACAGATATCCAAGCGAAATGTCTGATAATGCGTGAATAAGCGTTTAAACCAGATGATAGCGGCAGATGTTGGGGAATTAATAACATTTTTAGTGATATTCTTTAGCAAACTTGAATCTGATTTCCTTGCTAAGAACAAAACGAAATGTATAAAGTCACGAAGCATTCAAAACCAAAAGCCGAAAATGTAACGAAAACAACATCAGTTTAAGCAAAAGGTGGTATATTTTACAAAAACCAAAGCAACCAAACAAACAAACAAAGCGAAACGAAGCGAAATGAAATGAAATGCTAAAAACCAAAAAACAAAAAAGAAACAAATTTTTTTCTCCCATTTACCTCGACTCGACATTCATTTCGTTCGATATAACCTGTGTACTACTCTATTTGCCTTTACTTACCATCCTTATTAAGTCGATTGTTATTATTATGATTATATGGCAACGTCGAAGATAACAATTATTGTGTAAACCTAAACACACATGCAAAACTTATAAGAAACGAAAAACATGAAATGCGTACATACAAATGAAAATCAAATTCTTTTACCAAGGAAGAAACTTAATTATTTTTTTTTAAGTAATCGCCTAAGGGGGAATGGAAAATTTATCTTGTTACTGTCAGAAAATATTACTTACTTCAAATAAAAATTTTAAAGCGAGCACCAGCGTCTCTTTATGCCTCAATTAAGAGTTACATTTGGGCCATTTGGACAATTATTTTGATAGGGGTAAGTATGTGACCTGTGAACTGTGCCCTGTGACCTGTGACCCCCAACCGCTGGGAGAACGGCAGCTGCTACGAAAAGTGCTCCCCATTCGGGGATTTCCCAAGTATGTACATGAAAGTTTCAACTTAATTGTTGAGCTCTTAATGGGAGAGCTTTGCCGTTTTGTTTAATGGCCATTAGCTGCTATGGCCAGTCACACGTGGCGTATGCGCAATCAGCGGAGACAGCTACATGGCGATTACATGGATTACATGGATGGCCCCAAACGTAACGTATACGCAGCGTAAGCACATAAATGTATAATGTTTGCACAAAGCAAACTGCAAGTGTCTGGAGATGGTCAGCCTGACATGTTAACAGTGTGTAGCAAGTTGGGTCAACTTTATTTGCCGGATTGATGTCGTACTTAATACTAATTGATGTACTTACATGTCACTGCTGTGCGAGTTTGCTTCGAGTGCGTCCGGCAAATTGATGGTAAAGTAATTCACTTGAACGCCATCGGAATTTCGCAAAAATAATTCAATGAGAGCAAATAACTGGGTATGCCGTGTGTCATTACCAATTACAATCTATTATATGGAAGATACAAAGTCGTCAAATTTGCTACTACAAATAAGTAGCCATATTACCATATGAACAAATAGATTATCTATTTATGCTAATAATGATAATAATCTTAGGCTCACTAAAAGTTGAAAATGTAAATTAAACGGCTTGCTTTCAAGCTGCTGAGATTCCCAAGGAAGTCGGTTTTTCTTGCCCAAATCAACTGGAAAATTTTCCCAGCCAGGCATTTAATTTTTCATAAATTGCATGGCTGGGCCGCAGCCACAAGTGTTGACATTTGATAATTTTCATTTAGATTTATTTTTTTTGCTTTTGGGGTGCGGGTGCGCATTTTTGATTACCTTTTGCGGTTTTCGTGCGTGCCGCTGGCGTTGGAAATTGGACATGAATTAGTAATGAATTTCGCCCGCAGATGCGTCGACTGAGGCAGCGACTGAGGCAGCGGCAGCGGCAGCGGCAGAGGCGTCGGCATCGTGTTTATCTAGGCAGCCCAACTATTTATAATAAAAGGCTGCCAGATTAAACACCAAAATAGATTCTGTATCTGCAGCTGCATCATCTGTAGTTGTATCTCTATCTGTATCTGTATCTGTATCCGTATCCGAATGTATCCATACAACAGAGAAGCAACAAATGCGAAAACAATTCTTACATGGGCCCAACCAGCCCCCCTCGGCACGCCCCTGACCTATCCAAGCAGAATAAATAAACACTAATTATAATTGGCCTGCTTCGGACTCGAATTCGATTCCTTAGCCATCGGAATCGCCGATCGCGGCAGAGTGAGTGAGTAGGACGCCGCGGGCGCAGTCGACGTCGATGACGCGGTATCGCAGCAACCGCCCCCCCCCCCCCCCCCCCCCTCTAGAAAACCCCCTCGGAGGTGCGCCCATTAAAGCCCCCTCTTTCGTACAGAATGGCGAATTTATTCCTCGCGCGTTCGCCGGCGAACTGCAAATTGAAACGGGAAATGGAAAGGCTGCTTCTGCGTCAGGGGATCACCAGTTGATCGTCATCAGCGATCGGCTGATTGGATACTTCAACTAATCTAATCGGTGGCAAACAGATCTTGAGAGACCATTTGGTTGGGAGAGTTGAAAGATGGAGCAATTGAAATCCAATCAATATATGCGTACGTATCTGCCGCTATAAACTTGCGTTTCACTTCGAAGAACAATGCATTTAATTATAGATTACTTTTCGAAAAGCATTCGATGCTAGCAGGAATTCGAACTGAAATACTTGGTAGGCGACTGAAAAATACAGTATATACACAAGATTTATGGGCATTTAAACGAAAATCAATTGTTTAATTATAATATTGGAAGTGTTCCTTTGGCCAGCGAAGTAAAACACAATTTATTTAAATTCTAGCAGTAGAATGGATGATAAGACTGTGCCAAAAATATCTTAAAGTGTTTTCTAGTTTTAACGAAGCGAATATGCGATCCAAGGCAATAAAAAGCTAAGCAAATTGATTCCGATTTTGTGGCAGGGCGACAATGGGATGTGTTCCCTAATGTTTGCTTTGGATTATCTGACATTATTCGAACAATTCTTTAAAAAATATTCAATGCAGGAAATATGATTTTTGAGCTAATTTTTCTTGCCAATTTGAGTGTGATCTTAATCTTAAAAAACCTTATAAAATCTTGAAAAATCTTTACAATGGACCAAAGACACTGCTTCTATTTAGCGAAAGTATCTGCAGAGTTCGCCTAGGTGTCGAGATATTCAGCCGATCTAAAGAGATACATATATGTATATGTATGTATGCACGTACATATGTACGAACAGCAGCAGGCCAATAAACGGTTCGTTTGATTTGACTGCTGCCCCGTGTCCGTATCTTTATCTGTATCTTTGGATATAGTATCTGTATCTTTTATTGTTTATTTGCCCGCCGCTTGCTCTTTTGTTATTCGCCAGCGTTTTTATTATTTACTATATTTAGGCAGAGGCCAAGAGGAAGAAATAATTAGTCACTGCCGAACCACGGCAGGCGGCACCTGTAAGAAATGCAAAGTAAATTCTTCAATTGCTCAATTCCTCAGCCCATCCCCACGCCGACTGCGCTGCCGACGTCGACGTCGACTGCGACTGCGACTGCGACTGCGGCGTTGACTGAGGCCCAGGCCATTTGTGCGGCTGCTGGCATTCGATTGCCATTCGCACAAGTATGTGCATGTTCGCGACTCGATTTTCGCTTCGGTTTCCTCATTGTTTTTTCGGTTTCCTCTATTTATTTTAATTCTATTTTTTTTCGATTGTTCGATTTTTTTTTCTCGAATTTTTGCCGAACTTGTGTTTGCTTTTTTGGGTCGCTCGCGTGCGCTGTGCATATTGGAAATCGCTTCCCCCATTTACCACCCACTTTGCCCACAAAAACAAAAAAAAAACACGCCAAATAACAACAAAAAGCGGGCAGAGAATTCTAATTAAGTGTGCGCGCTAATGCGTTAAACTGCTACCCAATTTGTTTTTAAGCCAAAGTGAAAATGCCTTTGTAGTGCGTTGGCTGCATCGCTTTCCATTCGAGTGCAAATTACATCTATAAGTACGCCTAATCAGCCGATTACTGTCATCGCAAACACGAGCCAACCCAACGCGGCATTTGATGACCACACAAATGAGTGCCAGGTATGTCGTTACTTATCCCGGATAAACAATATTACCCCAAACCCAACCGCAGCCTTAGCCCATCCCAATTCAAATCCGAATCCAGCAAACTCGATAATTAGGCAGATTTGGAATTAAAAATCAATTTGGCTGGTATAGGTGGTAGTTTGCGATTGCTAATTGGATTGCAGTGGCATTCGCTTTGCGGTCCACGTGCGGTTGCAGTTATCTTTGGGCACCAACTGTGCGGTTATTACGACAGCTTGAGACCGATGACTTTGGTATGCTGAGCTTAATTATGGACAGCGGCTCTTGAAAGTGATTTTGGGCTCAGTTTCTGGCATCTGCGGTTTGCCGTGGTAACGGCTTTTGGCTGCCAGAAATGCATTGTGGCACTAAATACCACCGCAAATACAGACGGTATGGCATCGAATGTGGCAGCTGCATAAAAATGAATGCAACTTGTTGTACTCAGTACGGCTTAGTAACTGATGCATATCAAGCTGACTTTGTTATCTAAATTATTCATAGCATGAATAATTGGATTGTAGAATTGTAGAAATCCACTCAACTAACTGTCAGCCAATGGTGCGAAAGTAATTTTATTTGAACGCATTAGCCGCAGTAAATAAAATAGAAAGGTATGAATGGCACTGCTCCTTCCGAATCTCTGGGGCCATGGGTGCGGATTTGAGTTGCTGCAGACACAGGCAGCACATACGTTTGTAAATGAGGAGCTCGGGTGGGGGATTTGGCGGCAGTCCATTACATCTGCGCTCGAAGTCCCTCTTCTTGTAGTCCACATAGAGGCACCGCCTCCTGACCGAGCTCTTTGGCAAACAGCCGATCAGCAGGAAGTCCAGGGACACCCTCCACTCACCAGCTGTCGAGTTTAGGGCAACGGAGAAGATGCCGAACGAGGAGAGCAGGCGGAACACATCGAAGACATAGCCACGCAGGAGCAGAGTGCGCACCTCGGCCGGACAGCGAAGGAACGAGGAGCCCCACTGACCACGTCCCAGGGCGAGGAAGAGCTCCTCGACGATGCCCAGAAACGATTGCCACGGCTGGCAATCGATCCAGTGCACCAGCTGGAGCAGCAGCACTATCTCGGACAGCAGCATCAGGAGGCGGACGCGATGGCGACACCGCCGCACCCAAAGTGGTCGGTACTGCAAGATGGCCAGGAGCAGGCCGCATTCAAAGTAGACATCCGCCCAGCGTTCATTGTCGCCAATTGCGTACGGCTTGGGATCCAGTGGCGATATGATGGCATTGCTCAGCGGACGCCAGCGATTCCAGCGAACCAGCATGCCCATGGCCAGGATCAGCCAGCTCTCGTAGAGATCGCGTAGCAACTCCAGGGACATGTTGCGCTTATTATACCGATACATCTTGGATGTGGGGTAATAATTTGGAATATGCAAAGGTGAAAAAACGTTGACTGAGTCTCTACCAGTCGACTACTTCGATTGGGCTTCCAAAAGTTTGGCTTTATTGCTTTTTAGGGCTTAGCATAACTACTGGCCATGGCATGACTATTGATTAGCCTATGTTCGCACCTTAAACAGTTCACTTAAATGAGGCAGCAACTGAGGCATCTGTAGTGGCACAGGCAAGTGTTTATGCAACGCTCTCTTTTTGTTCCATATCTCCTTCTCGCTCGCTCGCATGCTAACACACTCTCTAGCACACACACACGTGCACGAGGCCTAATGGCTGCCACAGTGGAGTAGATACACTATTTTGCCAGTCAAAATAAGAACTAAATTGTTCCACACTTTGAGACGCCTTTATCAGCCCTTTTAAGACTTTCTAGTAATAAGGTTCCCTTTCTTTAGCTAATATTCTGGTAGTGAATTAAGGAACCCCCAGTGAATTATATTTCCTAGCATGCAGCGAAATGAAGATAAGAAAAATAATTATATCTAGGTATTTCTTTAATTACTGCACTTTTCCTGTTTTTCTCACTATCTGAGACTCGCCGCAGGTGGCTGCCTCCAAGGTGTCTGGCAACTGGAACTAACGCCACCGTGCCACCACCCCACCTGCCACACACATACACACAGCACACAACACACACCCATGCCCCCACCCCCCTTTGTCGCCCTGCCGGCCGAAGTAAACAGCATTCGAGGGTAGTGTAAACAATCATTGACCTCGTTCATATTTCTTGGAGCGCTCGCTCATTTGCCTTTGGCCCGAGTCCCAGACGTTGACTCTGCCTGGTCGCAATTAAAATTGTTGTTTAGCTAGTTGCCCCGTGGACGACGTCGCCCCCTGGTCACCCCGTCATCCTAGTCCCATGCCCATTCGCATTCGCATTTCGGGGGGGAAAACAGAACCATTCGCCAGGCGGCATTTGGGCACCAATTAGCCGCCGAGAAAAGAGGCAAAAATCTGGTCCCGGCAAATGATGATGAGCATAAAGCACAAAGGCAAGAAGCCAGAAGGAATTAGGAATCAGGAATCAGGAATCAGCAGCTGAAAGCTGCCTAGAGCCCAAAAGAGCCAAATCACGATAGGCTAAATGGCAAAGACACAGAAAAGTGAAACAATCAGGATCCGGTTAATCGGCAAAAACCGAACTGCGCCATACGCTTTAATGGCATATTCATTTTAATGGGCATGTTGAGTTTGCACCACTTTAGTTTCGATAACTATTATCCACTACAAGTGCCAAATTGGGGGATAACAATGATTTATGAAATCTCCAATTTGTACTCATATGAAATTTAAAGTTTACTAGAAGGCTTGCATATGGTTAACATAAGTTGGTGAATATTAATAAATTAGAAATAAATGGTAATTTAATTGTTTGCTGCCGTGCAAACAGAAAATAGTTCGAATGCTCTAAGAAAAATAGGTTTCTACCAGTTGAAGTGAGGTGAAAAGGGGTCTTTATGCATAATATTTTTAAATGAATAAATCAACAATATATATACAGTGATCTCCCAGCTGAGAGACTCCTCTTGCCCAAAGAGCATCAAACTTTGCCCAACGCTGGCGAACCGAGAGGCAAGTTTAAGCGTCTTGTTTGCAGCCAGGCCATATTCCACATCCATTGGCCCCAGCTTGAGTTTGAGCCCACGGACCGTGGCTTGTGGCCCAATATCGAGGCAGGCAATCAAGGATAACGCGCATTATCCCGAGGCCCACATATGGAGGGAGACGCTGGGGTCAGAGGGTTGAAAATTGGTATTTGGCATTTTGTTGTATATGTGTGTGCGTCGCTGCGACGCCAGCATAGCGCTGGTTTAGCATTTTTATGTGTCCCGACCTCCAATCACTCTGCTCCGCCTCCTTGCCCCGGTCTACAGAGACATTATGTAGTTGGCTTTATCGCAAACGATTTGCCAAACACAATATGACGTCGACCAGGAGTCAGGATTCAGCGCCCAGTTCCCCAGTTTCCCAGTTTCCCAGTTTCCCAGTTCCCCAGTTCCACAGCACCCAAGTTCCGAGACCCAAGACCGCGACCGAGAACAGGACCAAGTCAATGGAAATGACAATGGCATGGACCACAGAACCGCACACACATTAGGGCACATGTGCCATAGTTGGCAGGCGACCAAAATGTCCAAGGCATGAGCACTCCGCTGGTTGATGGATTGCAGAGAATGATTCGAAACAACTTGATGGCGCTTGGAATTTCCGCCATATCTCTTAAAGGTTGGAATTGTACAGCAAGTGATGTGTTTAAAACAAATCAAATGGGAATTTGTCTTAACTGGTGGATGGGAAACACAACTTATAAAGTATAAGCCAGATTGGAAGCCCAACTTTTGATACCGCTTGATATTTAATACATTTATTGTACTTCCCCCCTTGCAAACTTTCCTTGAAGCTTATCAGTGCCCTCAAATATGGCCGATTGTTTTCAATGACCTCAAAATGATAATTCACTTGCAGGTTTATGTTGAGTTTGATGCCCTGAATTATGCTTATTTTTATATATTTCTCCCGCTCTGCGCAGCCTGAAACACATTTTCTTGTCGCCTGTCCCTTGCTTAATATGTATTTCCCCCACACAGTGGCAAATTTTTATATTCCCAACTGTTTTTGTTGTAGTCAATGGAGCGGCGTCGAAGGCTTTTGTTTACTTGGCGCTGCTGACTTTTTTGGGGTCCTTCCACCGTTTATATGGCGCATAAAATTAATAATAACAACAAATGGTGCGGATGGGAGTTGGGTTGTTAAACGAAGAGGGGCGAAGAACCTTAAAGAGCGCTCTTTAAATGGGATAGTTTTTTGGGTGATGATAGATTGCCCCACTCCACTAATCAATTGTAGCTGGATTTTTAATATTTTGACAGTGCGCCAAATCACTTGCAATTTGCTCACTCGCCGCCTTACTCAAATATCAAGCATACGCCACGTTATCCAGTGCTCCTCGCATTTCTGTCTGTCTCCTTTCGCTTCGCTTCGCTTCGTCTCGTCCCGACGCCTCTCCCTTTTTACAGCTCAGTCGGATGCTGGCGCCGGCATTCAGCGAAGTGTCTGGGAGCTGTCGCCTCTGGCCAGGATCGGGCGTGGGCTTGGGTAAGTGGGTATTGGTGTGTGAGGGCATGGACTTGGGTAGATGGCCTCCAGTCGAGCACCCGTTCACACGACACTTGTAGTGTTCCGAGCCACTCCAACCATTGCCTCCTCCTGCTGGGGCTCTTGTTTGTTCCTGTTTTTGCCACTTTGGAAGTGCGTCTATTAATTTTCATATCGCCAGCATTTCCCAATACACCCCTCACACTTCTTTGCTCAATGTTTGGCTTATGAGGCACTTCCTCGTAAGTTTACCCAAGCACACACACGCACACTCGTCGCATTAAATAATTATGCGCCTAATTATTTGTGGGCGCTGGGCGTTGGGCGGTGGGGTGTGCACAAGTTGGGGCAAATGTTTAATTGTTTTTTAATTTGTATTTAAATGTGGCAAACAGTGAGCAGGCTTTTAGACATCTGCGCCGGAGTCTTGAACGTGTTTCTTGGGGTGACTGTGGGAGGGAATCGGATTTCAAAAAGGCATACCTCTAAATCATTCTGGCGCAATTCTCTAAAAATCTGCATTCAAATTTAGAAATTTATTTTTTTTACATTTTTTTTGTAATTTTGTCTATGTTGATTCAAAAAAAGTATGAAATGTCCCAAGGCTGAAGTTCTATACTCCATAACTCCACTTCTCCTAATCGGATTTTTAAGTGGCATACCTCTAAATGTTTGTGGCGCAATTCTCTAAAAATCTGCATTCAAATTTAGAAATTTATTTTTTTTTTTAATTTTTGTACTTTTTTGGTGTATAATGTTGTACGAAATCAAAACAATTCAAAAAATGACCCAAGGCTGAAGTTCCAAACTCCATAACTTCACTTCTCTTAATCGGATTTTTAAGTGGCATACCTCTAAATGTTTGTGGCGCAATTCTCTAAAAATCTGCAGTCAAATTTAGAAATTTATTTTTTTTTTTAATTTTTGTACTTTTTTGGTGTATAATGTTGTACAAAATCAAAACAATTCAAAAAATGACCCAAGGCTGAAGTTCCAGACTCCATAACTCCACTTATTTTAATCGGATTTTTAAGTGGCATACCTCTAAATGTTTCTGGCTCAATTCTCTACAAGTGCCAAATTGGGGGATAACAATGATTTATGAAATCTCCAATTTGTACTCATATGAAATTTAAAGTTTACTAGAAGGCTTGCATATGGTTAACATAAGTTGGTGAATATTAATAAATTAGAAATAAATGGTAATTTAATTGTTTGCTGCCGTGCAAACAGAAAATAGTTCGAATGCTCTAAGAAAAATAGGTTTCTACCAGTTGAAGTGAGGTGAAAAGGGGTCTTTATGCATAATATTTTTAAATGAATAAATCAACAATATATATACAGTGATCTCCCAGCTGAGAGACTCCTCTTGCCCAAAGAGCATCAAACTTTGCCCAACGCTGGCGAACCGAGAGGCAAGTTTAAGCGTCTTGTTTGCAGCCAGGCCATATTCCACATCCATTGGCCCCAGCTTGAGTTTGAGCCCACGGACCGTGGCTTGTGGCCCAATATCGAGGCAGGCAATCAAGGATAACGCGCATTATCCCGAGGCCCACATATGGAGGGAGACGCTGGGGTCAGAGGGTTGAAAATTGGTATTTGGCATTTTGTTGTATATGTGTGTGCGTCGCTGCGACGCCAGCATAGCGCTGGTTTAGCATTTTTATGTGTCCCGACCTCCAATCACTCTGCTCCGCCTCCTTGCCCCGGTCTACAGAGACATTATGTAGTTGGCTTTATCGCAAACGATTTGCCAAACACAATATGACGTCGACCAGGAGTCAGGATTCAGCGCCCAGTTCCCCAGTTTCCCAGTTTCCCAGTTTCCCAGTTCCCCAGTTCCACAGCACCC